TGCCGTCTGGGTGGGCGGCCGCTCCGCCCGCCGTGGCCGTCAACCCCTGGGATGGTCAGTGCCAGGGCTGGGCCCGAGGTGGGGCCTGGGGCGGGGGGCAGGCGCACACAAGAGTCGGGGCGCTCAGACTGGCCCACGTGCCCCTTGTAGTGGTGAAGACGCGGCTCCAGTCACTTCAGCGCGGCGTCAACGAGGACACCTACTCAGGGTTTCTGGACTGTGCCAGGTGGGCCAGGCTCCCTGGGACATGGAGGGGTGGGTGGGGGCCGGCCGCTGCTGCTGACCGTCCTCTCTCCTGCAGGAAGATCTTGCAGCACGAGGGCCCTTCGGCCTTCCTGAAGGGGGCCTACTGCCGCGCCCTCGTCATCGCGCCGCTGTTCGGCATTGCCCAGGTGGTCTACTTCCTGGGCATTGCTGAGTCCCTGCTTGGGCTGCTGCAGGGCCCCCAGGCCTGAGACCAGCGCTGCCCCACCTGGCCAGCTGGGCAGGGCCGGAGTGGGGCCAGAGCAGGGCGGCCAGCCGGGGCCGCCGGAAGGAAGATCTTTTTCCCAGCCTCCCCCACCGCCAGGGAAGCCGGGAGGCGGCGCAGAGTCCACAGGAGTGGTGCACGTGCGGGCTCCCACCGGGTCCTGCCTGCACGACTATTGGGATCAACGTCTTATTTATGTAGAGAATGCAGAAGTCTTTACATTCCTCAAGCCAGCCCCTATCCCAGCCCTGCCCCGGCCGAATTCCCCCAGGGCCAGAGCTGGTCTCTGGGCTGGGGGCCCCTGGGCCAGGACCGGGCGGGCGGGCAGGTCCTCCCTCTCTTGAGGCTCTCTGGTCTACAAAGGGGACCCCGCACAAGCTATTTATTGAACCTGCCGAGCCCAAGGGGCTCTCAGTCCTTCCATCCGTCCGTTGGTCCATCCTCCTGCTGCTCTGCTCGCCTTGGCCAGGACCCAGCTCCACCTCCCCGGCCAGCCTTGCAGGAAGACTGAGGTCCCCTGCGCCTAATGTTAAGTTAGGAGTCAATCCTGGGTGGGTCACTCAGTCCCCAGGGCAAGCCCCATCCCCACTACGGGACCTCTGGGGCCCCTCAGCCCCTCACCAGGCTGGAGCCCAGATTGTCAAGTCTGCCTGTGTGTGTTGTGGGGAGCGGGTCGTGCCCACCAGCCCTCAGCTGGCCTGGCCCCTCGGGATGGGGCCGTGGGAGGGCTGCTGCCCTTTCCCATGTGGCCAGGCACTGTATGTGTGCACCCCAAGCTCTCTGCTGACCCCGTCCAGAAACTTCCTCTCCAGCCTGGCCCCTCTTGTTGCACCCTCAGCAGACTCCTCCGCGCCTCCCACCCCTGGGCTGGCATTGGTCAGGGTGAAGGGCAGGCATGAGGACCAGGACGGAGCCTCAGGGCACCTGCTCTGCCCCCACAGAAGCCCTCCCAGGGCCCCTGACATAAGGCCCTGACACACTCCGTCAATGTTGGGCCGAGGCGGGCTCCCCCTGCCCTGTCCCCGCCGTGCCCTGTCGGTGACTGGTCCTGGCGTGCCGGTGCTGTGTCCCCAATCTGGGCCTTCTCCGCAGAGGCCCCTTCCCAGTGACACTACCCGGGCTCCGGTCTGGGCCCCCAGCTCACGGTTCCTGGGAGCTGCTCCCTCCCACCACGTCTGTACCCTGGAAGCTGCTGCTGCTGCTTACAGAATTCTATTTTTTTTTCTTTTGAAGAGTTTTAAAAAGTTGTAACTTTTTGTGTCTTGTCATGTAAGAGGATAAATAAATATTCTAAGTAGACGCCTTGTTCTGGGTGTCTGTTTGGGGGTGGGGGAGAGGGTAGCCCTTCTCCCCACAACCTGCTCCCCTCCCCCTGCAGGCCTAGGTTCACACCCGCCCACCCACCTGTTGACCTGGGGGGGGCCCTGGGTCAAAGGCCCCATACTGCCACCCCAGGCTGGGATGCGCCTTGGAAAGAGCAGCCCCAGCCTCCCTTCTGATCCAGCGCAGAGCTGTCTGGGGACCTTAGAGCCCCGAGCTGGGCGGAGCACTGGGGCCTGGGCGGGGCTGGCGCTGCGTGAGGCGCAGGGCCCATTCGCTGCGGCCTGTCCCCGCCCCGCGCTGGTCCCCCACGTCCTGCGCCAGGGAGCGGTGCGTTGTGGGAAACTCCTTAGCTCTCCTCTCCGCATCCGCGGTTGCCACCCGTGTCGTCCCACAGAGAGCTGCGGGCAGCTGAGGCCGGAGACCCCGAGGACGGCGTAAGGCTGCAGGGCCCCGGCTGCCTGGGGACTGGGTGCGGACGCCGCACTGGGTCTGGCGGGGCGCCCCACAGAGAGCTGCGGGCAGCTGAGGCCGGAGACCCCGAGGACGGCGTAAGGCTGCAGGGCCCCGGCTGCCTGGGGACTGGGTGCGGACGCCGCACTGGGTCTGGCGGGGCGAAGCGGCAGCTCGCTGCTGGTGAAGGTCATCAGGGTTGCGCTGGGCCTGTGCTCTCCTGGGCGCAGCGGCTGCGGGGAGGTGGAGGCGGCTGCGGGGAGGTGGAGGCGGCGGGCTGGGGCGGGAGGAAGAGCAAGCCAGAAAGACCCGGGGA